GCAAAGGGTCAATCAGCTCCCTGAATCTACACAGGAAGCGACAAGGATTAAATGGTATGCAGTCAGCCATAGGCAGAACATGGCTGCCAGGTTGCTTCACCTCTCACATTACAGATTTGCTGGAAGGGCTGTCCTGTGGAGGAGCAGAATACATGCAGCCGAGGAGGACTTCCAGATACCTGGGACACTTAAGAATGCCATCTCCAATGACACCTGAGAAGGGTGCTGGTGTCTATGCTGCTGTGGTGACTCACAGTGCATGACTCAGAGATTTAGAGTTAAATCTTCTCCATCTCATTAGGAATATAGCATTTTCCCATCTTAGGCATGGGCAATCAGCAGAAGCTGAAACAAACCAAGCCTCTATAAGACAAATGAAGGACAAAAGCTGTTCAAAGACTAAAGCAGATCTCTGCTGTCAATTTGGAACCCCTGTGGTGGGGCCTGTGCCCAGAAGAATGGGGTCTCTGAATGCCATCGTCCTTAGGTGCCTCTGAAACTTCTGAACCTGCAGAAGTAGTCTTCTTTTACAGGGGATCAGTGCTATCCCACCCCTGCACCTGAGGGATAAAGCATTGCCTATGTCTTATCCACACAGAGGTCTTTGCTCTCAGGTTTTGCCCTCCACTGTTTCTGAGAGGGTAGCCAACATTGCATACTGGCTACAGAACTCACATTGCTAAAGCCAGGAGAGTGGCCAGAAAAAAAGGGTAAGGGTTCATGAAGCTACTGCCAAGTCCTACCCAGAATGAAGCCTCAGCTCAGTCAGAGCTAAGCAGGCTGGACTGGACCTGTTAGACAGGAAAGGGGAGCCAGCCAAGGGGGAATCTGGAACATCATGCTTCCAAATCTGTAGAGAGGGAGCTGTTCCTCTGCCACAGGCTTGAAGAGGGCATCTGAGGATGCAGATTGCATGGGGACTGTAAGTTCCTGCTAGGAAATAGGACTTCAGGCTCTGACAAGGTCCTCGGGTTATGATGCAAAGAAAGTTGCTCATAGCTAAGGCCTGGAAGCATGGAGGCAGCAATGGTTCATCATCAGCATTCTTGAAAGCAGGCCTGGCCTTGACAGACAGGAATGGAGGTGGAACATCGAGGCTAAGGGGTATTGCTGCCTAGAAATGGTTAGATTACTTGAGGCCAAAAAGGTGCTAGTGGGTAAGTTTCTCTGACAGAAACATCAGAGCATCAGGATTCTGCAGGAGAAAAGACACTAACATCACTTAGAAGTTTGCCATAAGGCTACTCTGTAGGTCTGGGTGACGACAGGTTAGCTGATCTCACTGTGCACAACAGTTTATGAAGTTTTCTTTCCCTCCTGTTCCACTTCTTATTCCTCTTGCCCAGCCCCTACTTCTTTTACATCTTCTTCCTTCTCTTTGTCCTACTCTGCCTCTGACTTCTACTCTTCCTCCTCCTGCAATTCCTCATCTTCATCTGCAGCATCGATGATAACTGAGCTGCTAGCAGCTGGTGGTTAAGACTAATCACAGTTGAGAGAAGAAACTCTACACCACAGTCTTCCTTAGGTATACGAGGGACATATATGTTCAGCATAAGTCAAGCTGAGGGAGGTTACTCAGATGAGTAAAAATTCAGGGATAGGGGACTGAGTGCTGCTACTCACAACAAACCAATGAGTATCCCTGCTCAGTTTGTGCTCTGTGACCCAGATTTGGGAACCCTTTGACTCAAGGAATAGTAGGAAGCTGAAGTACCAAAGAAATGAGACTTGCAAATTGCCCCACGGCATTTCCCAAAGGGACCTACAGTTGTATACTGGGCCACTGAAGATCAAGGAAACTTCAATAACAAGCAACTCTGTTGTAGACAGTGTCCTGTGGGATGTTCATGCTTTGTGAGTCGATGAAATATCTACAAGTTGTTCTCAAGAAGGACATGGTGTAGTTAACATTTCTGGACAAAGGCTGTTATCAAAGTCAAAGCCGTGGACCATTCCCTGGAAATTGGTGAGTATGTCTCGAATGGAGAAGACAGTGAACCAATATACTCCATATTAAGCTGCAGATTTAGTGAGAAGCCAAGTTACTTTTTAAAAGAAACTTTACAGAATATAAACTAATGCTCAATGTAATGCAAAATACAAATCAAAATATGAGATAACACACTCAGTGGAATAAAAATTTACAAAAAATGGGAGATAATGCTTAAAGTATTAAAACCCTTGTGTCCATGAAATAACCAGTTTTACAAGTTTCCGGGATAAACCTACAGGTTTACAAGAGGCTGGATGGGCATTCTGTAGCGAGCACACTGGACTAATTCATCTGGAATCATGATTATGGGCTGACAACTTGTCTTCTACATCCTGCCAGCCCCCCACAAACACCGAGCACAGGGTCACTAGAATATATCATGTTATTTGAAGGCCTTGATCTGGCAATCTACAGAGGTTGTGGTTTCTTTAAGTAATGATAGATGTGTCTGAAAAATAAAGGGGGAAATAAAGGCTAACCGAAGAGCCTGGAAACTACAATCAATGCCTTTGGCTACTAAATTCAACAAACCAGTTTGGAGGAAATTTAGCATCGACGATAACCGAGCTGCTAGCAGCTGGTGGTTAAGACTAATCACAGTTGGTAGAAGAAACTCTACACCACAGTCTTTCTTAGATATGCAAGGGACATTTATGTTCAACATAATTCAAGCTGAGGGAGGTTACTCAGATGAGTAAAAATTATGCTTCCTCAGTTTGTATCCTGGGACCACAAACTACAAAATGGAGCGGAAGTAGCACACCATGTCTTCAAGAACACTGGAATGCCACTTTCTCCCGTACACAAGCAGCGTGGCATGAAGACAAAAGCAGCCATAAGGGCAGGTCTTGGAGTACTAGCACCTGATCTGAGCAATCTAGGAAAAAAATCTTATAAATAAGACTGGAAGGAAGGGTGCAAAATGTGGCCGTTAGGGCAGAAGGAAAATTCAAAAATGCATGACCACCAAGATGATGCATTGGGTAAAGGCCCTTGCTGTCAAACCTGATGACCTGAGTGAAATCCCCAGAGGCCACATGATAGAAGATAACAGAGTTGTCTAAGATATCCTCTGACATGGGCTCTGTGGCCCACATTTGAACCTGCATATGCACAATAAATACATTAATGTAAAAAATGCAAAGAAAAGAGAGCCATGTATAACTGGAGGGGGTGGCTGGTCTATGGCATCACTGAGTTCATTCTTTGGCATGAACAACAGGGAAATACAGCAGATATTGTCATGAAGAATGGGAAAGGGATAGCCTTATTGCTTTAGGGTGGAATTCTTTTAAACAGATGCTAGCTTGGGTATTGTATTGGCTCCGTGGCTCCTCCCCATCCCCCCATTGGACCTGCCCTAGATATATGCCCCTGTGCATTTCAGCGGTTTCTCAGAGTCTACTGGGAACAACAAAACCACTATCTCAGTGAGCCTTCCTTCACTGCCCCTGCGTACTTACATTCCTCTAAGCTCCCTTCAACACAGACCATTACAGAAATTCACAACTGATCAAAATTTGGAAAGCAACTTACTGTCGAGTGCCAACCCTAATAAACACATCTAAACACAACCCTACAATGTTATGCCAGGTTCTTGAAACCCCAAACAGACCACAAGTTGCTGACAGAGGTCCTTACCAAAAACTGAGGAAGGTTTTTAAAGGCTAAGATCACAAGGCTGAGAGCCACAAGATAACAAAGTTTCCATGATACTCAAGGTCGTTACAAAGTAGAAAGTAAAGCAATAACTATATATTTTAAGCAAGATACATTTGAGCAAGATAGGGTGGGGGTATGGGGTCATGAATTTGCCAATTATCCCCTGGGGGGATTTTTACAACCAGAAATTAGTGGTTATCTGGTTTTCTCTAGGGCAAAGAAATGTTGACACATATGGTGGCAGCTAACTCCCTTTCTCTGAGAGCTGGGCTCAGGATCCTAGTCATGTACTTCCAGTTAGGGGGTGAAATTCTCTTTATCCTTAGAAGGTCCTGTTTTCTCTGCATAGGTTCAGCAGCCCGAGTCTTCAAAGTATTATTAATTTTAATTTTTGGACTCTCAACAACTAAGGCTCAGATAACATTATAGAAGAAGGGATAAAAAGATTGTAAGAGCCAGAGAACCAGGATATCTACTATGAGATAGCATTTTCTGTATATGATGTGGACTCTAAACCTGTGAAATCTCAATAGTACAGTCGACTAAATAGGATTAGCACAATGGCAGCACAGGGAAATCTCACAAGAACTAAAGTCAGCCAGGGGGTGATTGCAAACACCTTTAATCCCAGCACTCCAGAGAAAGAGACAGGGCGATCTCTGTGAGTTCAAGGCCAGACTGGTCTACAGAGTGAGTACCAGGACAGTCATGACTGTTATACAGAGAAACCCTGTCTCAAAAACCAAACCAAAGAAAACAAAACGAAGAGCTACAGGCCATCAATGGCTGCATGGCTGCTGAGAGAGGAAGATTGACTCTTCTCCATGGACAAGCCACCTGACAGGTTCTCTAATCCCCAGTGGTCAGCCCTAAACAGAAATACATATGAGAAATATTAAATGGACTCAGAATATTGCATTTAAATGTATATCCAACCCAAGGAAGTTAACTACAACCAGAAAAACAAAGGCATTAGAGAATCCCTCTCTACCAAAAGAACAAAAGAACAAAGGGGTGAAATTCCACACATAATTCCACCAACAACAAACATTCCAAATCAAAGAAGAATGAGCAATCAATGGTCATTAAATTCTCTCAACATTAATAGCCTTAACTCACCCATAAAAAGACATAGGCTAGCAGAATGGATTCTAAAACAGAACTCATCCTTCTGCTGCATACAAGAAACACACCTCACCCTCATGCCACAAGACATAGGCATCCTTGCTAACTCAAATTATTTTTTCATCATGAACTAAGATACTGTGACTGGTGTGGGAAGGGCTGTGGGGATCAATGCATGTTTCGTCTCAAGATAGATAAAATACTCATTTTGTTTCAGATGTACCGCAACTTCAACTTCCAAAGAGATAAGCCTGGACTGTTTCAGTATATCTGGGGAAAAGAAGACATAGGCAGTCTTGCCAACCAAGCTACCTGTGTACCTGTTCCACTTAAATCTTCTCGAGGGCCAACTTCAAAAAAAGAGAAGATCTTACCTACCAGATATTCTCCACGATTCTATCACAAACCTGAGGAAGAAGAGTCCAAGAAGAAGAACTCCAGTGATAAGCCACCTAAAGAAAATCACGACTTTGTATTCTCTTCTATATGGGCGATGAAAGCTATTCCTGGATGTTACCTACAATATCAGCCATTTGGGGAGTCAAGAAACCCACCTGTGGAAGACACCTCTCAAAATACTATATATATATATGCCTCCAACTGCTCCTGGAGTCCAAGACACGGAAGAAGTACCCAGTGTCAGCTCATCAGGGTACCGCATTTTGCATTTTATGGTGTGTCTGTACAACGATTGTTGTTCTGCCCTATTGTCTGCCTTCTCACGAAGGTAAACACATGAATCCCCTAATGAAGAAGAGCAGGAAGGCTCCTCAGATTATAAGTGTGTAATCTGTGAGCCTATAACCAATTTCACTTATGAAATCACAGGGAAATGTAAACTAGTAAAAATGTTTTAAGGTTCGTCCAATTTTGCTATCAAAATGGATAAATTCAATGATGGCAAATAAATAATCTAAACTAGAATGGAGTCTGTGTCTTATCTGACCTTCTGTACCATTCTGTATCCTTGGCTCCCCCAACTTTGGATTCGCTTTGTGCTTTCATGAGAACCAGCTACATTTCCATACCCTCAGCAAAGGTAGGGTAGAGAGGAAGGCTGGGAAAATCTGTTCCTTCCATTGACGCCTGCCTACCATCTACTGGTGTCACCTCACACTACTCAGGTATCTTGAAGGAGAAGATTCTATCCCCCAGCAGGTGTTGACAGGAAGTATATGAGCATGAACTGAAGGTCTCTACCAAGTATCCATTAAGCAAGTATAAGCACATCTTAAAGAGATGAGCACTACTATTCTCTGGCAACTGAGATACAGGCCATTGCACAGCACTTGGTGGAGGGGGGTGACTGTACATCACATGAAGTAGAAAGACATTATATATTTTGCAAAAGAACCTGCAAAAAGTTGCTACCAATTGTCCACCACCCAACACTTTGTTAATCAACCTGAAGTAATCAGAGATAGAATTAGGACATTTAAGATAAGAAATGGCTCAGGGAGACACACCCTTCCTTGCCTGAGGAAACTGTCCAGAGGGCTCTTCCACTGTGGCAGGACTCGACATTGTTGGGTTTCTCCATCAATTCTCCTCCTCATCACAGATTTGCCTGGGCATTGGTGTCGACTCAGTACCTGGCCCCAGTCTTGCCACCTGGTTCCCTAGATACTGTTCATGCGCTGCCTGTGTTTCCACAGTAACACAGAACCAGGAAAGCACATACAGGGCCCCAGACACTAACGACTCTTTATCTGTGCAATCCAGACAACAGTTGCTGTTATGATAAATAAACTTTAGTACAGGACTCATTTTCGGGCAGCTCTCCTTTCCCCTAAAGGCCAAGGTACTTGAGGCTGTTGCAGCAAGACCATCAAGCTCAGCAGAAGGAATGCTCTCACTGCCATGTCCTTTATGAGTGCATAGCATTCTAGGTGTTTCAGTGAACAGTCCATAGTGGGCCATGCTCAGCATGACAATGGTGGCTCAGTGTTGCTTTGGCTTTAGAGTCTGCACTGTGATGTTGAATTTTTGAGTTGGGAGGGCATTACTTAGCTGCCATGTCAGCACCGTTATACCCCTGCTCCAGAGCCCACAGTAAACAAACCCTCCTCCCCAAGGGATTGAGCTCTAGAAGTAGCTCATGTCACTCAGTTCCCATGCCATCTGTCACAGTCATTGCCATTTGTACTCATTTGGGCACACACAGTTCAATGTCATAAACAGACTCTTTCTTATAGTAACTTTCAGACTACAAACAGCAACAGAGACCCAGAGTGGAGCAGTAACTACTCTAGTCTGAGGAAATGCACCCTGGTCCAACTCCTCTGTTGAGGCTTAGAAGGAGTGCTGTTTCAGGAAGATTCAGCACACATCCTCCAGCACAAGCTAAAAGACAAGTGACAGCTTAATGAGCATCATCGTAAGTTCTCCTCTCTAAGTTGTCAGCACCATGTTCTGCACACCCTCATGGAGCGCCTGTCACTGCTCGGTCAAGTCTACACTCTTGCCAGGGCAAGGCCTCATTCTCCTTGGGGGCTATCCACAGCATGTCCTCCTACACCTTTTCTCATAGCATTGCTGTCTCTATGGGCATTGTGATGGCTGATGGTACATTTCTGGTGGGCATTCACTAAAGACAACAAACACAAGTCACAGTTTGATCCATTTTAAGATATACTCAACATAAAGCAGCTGGGAGGAGAGAAAGCAAACCACGTCTTCCTCAGACTCCCTGGGTCCAAACATAGAATCACATCACAACTAAGTCCTCCAGTTTCACAGCCATTTTCCAATGGACCTGAAAATCCATTGATCTTAACGTTCCACTGCCTCTCTTTGTCACAGGTCGATGGGTAACTGCTTGGTGATGAGCCCAAAGCGAAGCGGCTGAGACTGAGATACCTGGCATCTGTCTGTGGAGATTTGGGAGAACTACCAAGAATGGACACAGATTTATAGACAAAGTTACCAAGAGGACAATGTGTGGCCAGCCAGTCTTTGCCCACGAACAACATGGTCTTCTACCTCAAAGCTTCTGAGTCAGATCTCCTGTACAAGGATGGGTGGTTCCCTCACCCAGGTAAGGGAGAGTCAGGGCCATGGATGAGAACATGTGGCCAAGTTCAGGCCACATGGTACACTGCTGATGTGGATTCCTGGGGCCTCCACAAGTTGACTGGTGCCCAAACACTGATGTCTCTCATAAAAGAGGTATACATTGACACACAGTCACACATGTACCCGTACCTACATATAAGTACATATCCACCACCCAAATGTATGAAGCCAATACATACTCAGTCAATTAGGCCCAAAGCTACCACTTCTGCACCAAGGACTGGAAAGCCATTTATGAAATCATGCAATAATCTGCATTGGCCACCAGGAGACACTGTTGAATTCCTCAGATGCTGGGGAGTTCGCGGCCAGGAAGGGGAGAGAACTGAGAAAAAGAATCAGAGGGTTCAACTGGTCAGGGTGAGGCCATGCAATAGTGGGGCTGAAAGTAATGAGGCCTTGGAGAAAGGCCTGGAAGAGATGCAGATGAGACATGTGAGCCTGATGTAATGAGCTATGAGGTGGGGCTATGGAAGGAGCTAGGCAGGCCAATGAGTGCTCCCAAAAGTTCAGGTACAACAGGAGTACTAGCCCTGAAAGGTGTGTTGAGATAAAGTACAGGTGGAGCTCTGAGCGGTAACATAAGAAGCTGGGTTGGGGCACTGACTGTCGCCATTGCTAGGCCAGGAGATAGGAATAGCAAAGCTAGGATGTGAGTGGTGGGGCTAAGAGTACTAAAGAAGAATTGGAATGGCCGAGGAAAGAATAGAACTGGGCTCTGAGGCAAGAATTGGAGGCACAGCTGTGAATCCTGAACTAGGTAGGCAGACACATGGGGTGCAAGACTGGGGTAGACTTGAAGGTGTCTCCTGGAGGAGATGGACATGTTAAAGCCCTAGAATGTCATCAAAACATCAGTTAAGGTCTTCCTTTAAATCCTCAGGCCCTTGGACAGATCACTGAGAAGTGTTGTAGATCAAGGTCGTTAAAACACAGCACTACCTCTTCAAGGCTGCCTCAGAAATCTCAGCTACGAGGTCCATCTCCTCCATGAGACACCTTAAGTCTACTTCAGAATACTCAGCTAGGAGGTCCAACGTTTCCAGGAGGATTAACGACCTGTTAATGCTGTAGTAGAAAAATAATCAAAAGAACATAACTTTAAAACTGATGTGATGATTGATCTAAATGGAGGCTATAAAATTTTTATATAAATGCATACATATGTACATATATTCTATTTATGTATATGAGTTTCTTGAAAATTTGTTTTTAAGTGTGTGTGTGTGTGTGTGAGCTGTCTGACATGGGTTCTAGGAATTGAACTCAGGTCCCCTCAATGAGCATTATATGCTATTAACAGCTGAGCCATCTCTCTATAAGTCCTGATTTGTTTACAGATTGTTTACAATATAGAAAATTGGCCTTGCAAGTAAATGGTCACATAAATTAAAGGACTACATTAGCCTACATAATTCCTTTTACTTCATAATATGACTAAAATATTTAAATACATGTTTCTAAATGTCTTATTAAAGTTATTACCTGGTTGGTTTTGTGTCAACTATACTGCTACAAAAGGTTTAAAGAAGTCCTATTGCTTTGGGAAATAAGCACACTCCAAAGAAATGATGGCTCACAAAATCACCCTCTAGGGCGTGGGGCTTTAAGTCTATCTCTTCTTAGAACCTAACGATTAAGACAGTAACTTGTTGCTGTGCCCTCAGCTTTCTTTTGGTAACTAATATGCTCACCTGCTGATTCAGTTTAAACAAAGGAAGGGAATAGACACAAAACAAAACCAAGAACGATAGAAGTTTTATCCTGCTTTGCCTTCCTCATGCACACAAATGAGAATTAATGTTTTCAATAAAAAGAAATTTCAAAGTGCTTGTTACAGTAAGACTTAAATCTTTGACAAATTAACTAGAAAATCTAAATTTAGGATATTGATCCTGATTTGCCTTTATTAATAAATTAGATATCTAAGACAAATACATATTTTCTGTGTATAATTAAGTCATCAAAAACAGTATTGATTTTATTTTTGAAATGTGTAAAATGTTTATAGATGACAGACTATTTTAAATAGATATTTCTGTTCTAAGATAAAGATGTTCCAATATAAAAACAGGAAGATTAACAAAAAACAAAAATTTAAACATGTCACCAAAATGTATATGAAAATTAAAACTAAAAAGATTATGAGTTTACAAAACTTCAATGAAAAACAAACATTTTATGTTTCCTCAAGATAACTACCTATATTTTCTATTGTGTGTTTCAGTCTACTAATCAGGAAACTGAGTCATAAAGTGAATGTTTATTTTTAATGAAAAATAGTCTCTGTCAAGCTTAATCTAACTGATATACCGTTTTATACTGATATACCTGAGAAAACCTGTGTAACAGCGCTGGATGTCCTGGAACTCACTTTGTAGACCAGAGTGGACTCAAACTCACAGAGTTGAGATTAAAAGCATGTATCACCATGCCTGCTAAATTGCTACAACTTTAACTAAAATGTAAACCATAATTTATTTTTTTATCAAGGTATAAATGCCTTTCTAAGTATTTAATACACACTTGGAGGCTAAAGGCAATGAGGATATGAGATAAAAGGACAACCAATATTTTGGCCCTTCTGCCTCATGGGAGCAGGGAATAACAAAGCTCTACTCATACGGTGGTATACCTCTGATGAGTCACCTGTTTTTTTGATCAGAGAGGCCAAAGCAACACAAAGGTTATACTCTAACCAGTATACATTCTATAAAAGGAGGGTCAACACTAAGAAAAATATTCTTGATGCTTCCAAAGGAAACTGCAAGGTCAGTAAGACTGTGACCATTCCCAACAGATAGCATAAATGACAAGGAAACTAAAGGAGTCAAATGTTTCCTTCT